CTCTCTCTCTCTCTCTCTCTCTCTCTCTCTCTCTCTCTCTCTCTCTCTCTCTCTCTCTCTCTCTCTCTCGCATGTCTGTTCTTCTTCTAATTTCTTTCCAAGTATTTTTACTTACCCAACAGAGCACCCTTAAGTAGTGCCAAACAGTCGGTGGTTCCTTGTTTGGAGTGCCTACTGCACTCTTATGGGGGCCGCTCAGGGACGGCAAAAGCAGGCTCGGAGGTGGTGGTGGTTTAAGACTTCTTTTCGTAATACGAGTCTCTTATCAACAGACCCATGGATGTATCATTGAGCCACATGGGCTGTGTAGACCAATGAAATCCCTTTGCCAGGAAGAGCAGCAAATAGTCTCTTCAGATGATCAATGTTTTCACTACAAGGAGGAGACAACAAACAGAACCCAGCAAATTTTTGCTCTGCTCACCTTGCTTAGAGCTAAGGTGGCACCTGCTACTAGACAGCCAATTATGATAGACTCTTACCTTTCAGAAAAGCAGCGACGAGTAGCAATTTCACAAACCACTTGGGGGTTAAAAACAGGGGCAACAGACGGAATGTACTCACTTCCTAGGTTCAACTTGCAGACAGGTATGTGAATCCACAAGACTTTCCAAACGATGAAGGATATCTACGGACTCCCTGCATCCGTCAGTCCTTTTTCTTGACTACTGGTAGCTGAGGAAGACGAATTGGACTGCATTCCAGATAGCAAATGGACCTTCGACTGCTGGAAACGCGCTGGCAAGTCTCTGTCTCTCCTTTTTTCCACAGCTGAGAAGCAATATCCCAGATGGTGTCTCCAACTATATTTGGGTTTTACAGCTAACTGGCTGGGTTTTGCAGCTAACTCCGGTTTTAACTGCCTGTGCAAAGACGAACGATAAGAAGATCTGCAGATGATCGGTTGGGAACCACTACTGCCGCCAAGCCGAGATTGCCATACGGCAGAATTCTCTTACTGTAGACATCCACAACTCTACTGCCTGTTTGGTTGGATGGCGCCCATGGGTCGTCCGAACCTTACCAGTACAACTAACCCCGTGACTGCCTGGTTTGCGTGAGGGGCACAATATTAGATAGGCCTGCCTACTGTAGTCCCTGACAGCACAATGTCGTACCCGGAACGGTTTATAGATGGTATGTTTGCACTTTGGCATTAGGCAAGCCCCTACCTTTGCTAGGTTTTATGTGCCTACATACCTACTTAGGGTATACCAACCTTTTATCATCGGCAGGCTCCCAAAGACGAAGGGAGACAGTAACACAACGGGAGGAGAAACGCACCTCTGCTCTTGCATGAGACAGTTCTTGCTGTACCGTAAGTTATGGAACCATTCCTTGGCGTTACCCATCGCCTGCAAAAATTCCATCCGCAGTTTAGCCATTTGTCTATGTTGTTTGATTATGAGCCAGGCATGGGCGGGCTTTGCCAGAGTCGAGTTTTACCTTAACCTGAATGGGCTAGATACAACTCTGTGCCTCACGCTGGTGACAGTCGTTTCACAGACTGCTACCATTCCAGGATCCTCTTCCTCTCCCTCTTTCTCGCAGACAGAGATGCACAGATGCTTCCTGGTGAGCCAGTGAAAGTGAAAGACCAGTCTTGCACAATCATGCTTTTTCTTGTGTTGCAATGTGGTGAGCATAACAAGGCACCGACACACACAAGCACACATGCTATACTGTGAGCATAACATTCACACACACACACACACACACAAGCACTGACAGCCACATTCATCCCGCAATCACAAATACAAAAATGGGCCATTAGGGTTACTGCCAACATCTGTTGTATTGAGATGACAGCATGCAGCCACTGTCATACCCATCGACGTCAGAGGACATGAGAAAGCAGTCATTCATCGGTTCAATCCCACGTATATTTCTTGTGCACGAACACAACAGAAAAAGAACAAAAGAAAGTGGTGTACAATCTCAGATACCTACTGTATCACAATACCAAAATTCCTCCAATGGCAAGTATCCCTCACAGTGAATCGGGCATGTCAAACTACCGTGCCTTTGCAGACATGGATGGCCAGCATCCGCTCTAAGCCGGTGGCATGGTACTGCACAATTCATAAGCCTGAATTGTGCATTAACGCTACAGAAACACAATTTTCCTAACTAAAAACTAGACCGGAAATTGCTGCCAAGGAAAATTAAATTGCTGCGAAGTACTCCTTGCTTCCCTTAGGGTCGGGCTTCATGGATTTCTCCCCAGGCTTCCACCCAGCAGGGCAAACCTCATCTGGGTTCTCTTGGACATACTGCACAGCCTGCTCACAATAGTTTTACACACAGCAAAGCCAACACGCCACCACCACCAGGTATCACTGGTTAGTTATGTAGAAGCCCAGTGTCTGTGTTTCCACTCGTATCTCTGAAGTCTAATCACATCTCCACAGAGGCCAACATTCGCCCTTCAGCTTCACAGTATATGCAATCAACAACCCAAAAGCTTCACTGGGTCATGACAATCTACAGGAGCAGTGTAGCATCATAGCAATATCCCAGACTAGGCCTAGAGGTGCCACAAAAAAAAGAGCCAGAAAAAAGGAGGAGAAACATCCACAGCCCACCACGATTGGGATGGCAAGCTCAACGGCAAGAACCCCTCAAAAACAAACATCGACCTCTGCCCACCAACACCCGAGTCTCAGCGACCCAAGGGTTGGGAATCCCCGGTTCAGCAAAATAGGGCCTCGCTCCACTACTCACCACATGCACAAAAGACAAAAAACATGGTGGTGTACATTTCCACGTTCCAGCGGAAGATTCATTCTCATTTTGCAGATCATCTGGTGAGTAGCGGAGCGAGGCCCATAGTTCAGGAACAGTGGCAATGTAACAAATTCCTGGTGGCAGGTCTCGAGTGCATGTAGAGATACAATGGGTGAAACGCACACACAGAGCGTGTTCCTGCTACATTCTACTTGAAGAGAATGCCTAGAATTACAGAATTGTGGCCATGCTACATGAGTAGAAGGGGCACCCTACCTGCAATGTCCTGAGCGTCTCATCCACACTTCTGCCAATGGCCAAGTTGTTGATCGTTGCATGTTGGATAACGCCCTCTGTGTCAATGATGAAAAGCCCACGAAGAGCCACACCCTGCACCGCAGAAAAAGAGCACCACCAAGAACACCATAGACACGAGAACATCAGTGAGTTGAAGCAACCTGTAGCAAAGCTACTTTGCGCAATCGCAAAGAAGAGAGTCAGAGACATACAAATCCATACCAGAAAGAGAGAAAGTGAAAGCAAGAGAGAAAGAGAGAAAGTGAAAGAAAGAGAGAAAGAGAGAGAGAGCACTATGCTCCTTTTAACCCTCACATTCCCATCCACGTCAAAATCAGATTGACTGCAAAGTTCGCATTCACAAGCCCCATTTTACAACCACGTCCACACACAGGCAACTGAACTTTGGCAATACGATTCTCATCTCGGCCGTACAAGCTCGAGACGAAGTCAATATGCGTGCAATGCACAGACACCGAAACGTCAGCCAAGCCCTCCTTTCCTAGGGATCCTTCATGAACATACGAGCACATACCTCCTCCTCAATCAGGACGTTGTATTGTCTTGCAATGTCCTTCGTGATGTCAGAAACCAGCGGGTATGACAGGTCACCAAGACCACCTGATTTCCTCTCCGTCTGTATCCAGGCAAGATGGGAAAACTGCAAGATGACATCATAGATGGTACAACGACAAGATAAGTTGGTCATGGTTTTCCGCGAGAATTCTCTCAATAAAACAAAAGAGCGCTCTTGCGCCTTCAGCCTTCCATACGTAGGGGCAATTTGGTTATTATTTGTTGGAAGTCTTTAATTTAATTTACAGTCCTATCCATCGCAAGCGGCGGCGCGCTCTACCGGGCTCTTCCCTTCCGCCAGTGAGCCAAAATAATGTTATTATATTTTAATTCTTCCTGGATTCGGTATTATCAGCCGTGTGGTTTCTACTTTTTCCAGAAAGCCCGTGTGTTGACTATTTGGGCATGGTTTATGGTGGCTCCGTGTAAGGCGTATTTCGTAAAGTGCTTGCCTTCATAGCCACCCACTCAAGAACACTGTTCTTCCATAAACTATGCTGATCATCCCTGCTCTGCTCATCTTTCTATGTTACCTATTTTTTTTTCTATAATGCCTTCCTATAACAGTCCTTCAAAGCGACCTATCTGATTTCGCAAATATGGTCGTCATGAACTAGTTGAATATGTTGCCTTAGTGCCATGTCAACCCTGAGCATCATGGCACAGATTCTATTCGATAACCTCCCTCTCTCCTAGCTGCAGTTCCTAACAAAGACCGTGATGGCTCATGCGAGTTACTACCCTCTCTTAACTTCGTAAGTACAATCTATGTGTAAAAGTAATTGGACAAGCAGAACCTCAACTCGCAGCCACTTCCAGAGAGAACAACATCCATGCGAGAGCATACAACCCCCTGCGTTGGTCATATTGCCCATTTCCCTTCAGTCAGAGCAACAGTATTAACATGATAAGATAAAACAGCCCACATCCATTTTTCTGCTTTCTCTGTACGCTTCCTCGGATTCCGCAAAAGAGAAAGCTGGGGAACAGGACCTTCACATGCCACTCTTACATTCTGTTTACTCAGAAAACAGGACACGCCAAGCAATACCCCTCTTCACCCATCCCCGTTCAGCACCGGTTAATCAGTAAGTGATGAGCGAGGTGCCTCTACTCGTTTCTGCTGGTTCGTTACTTCGGTGCTTTAGTCAGTTTCTTACGTCACACACCCAGAGTGCGACCTTCACGCAGAAAGTTCAAGAGCTCTAAAGCGAGGTAATCGGGACTAAGGTCCGCACATCATATAAAACATTCACATGCCCTTGGGGCGGGAGAGAAGATCCGTTTCCTTGCCTGCCCCTCGAGCAGCGTTCTTTTGCAGTCCGTCGAGCAGAAAAAAATTCCCCCATGCATGGCATCGACTCCTCCAGTAAAGTGAGTTCACATTCAAACAATGCCGGCAGAGTGCGTTGGGGCAGGGCCAGTTCGTCACGTGGTTTGAGTGTGAGGGACGGTGGAGGAAAGAAGGAAACGTAACGATGCCGCTTCCGGCTACCCTCTTCCCCCGAATACAACGTACGGTCATTATATCTGTATTTAGACTGAAACATACCCCAAATACACCTATAATGACCGTACGTTGTATTCGGGGGAAGAAGGTAGTCGGTTCAAGTTAGTAGCATTTTCTGCAACAATAAGCTTGACGACCTTCTCTAAGTCTTGAAGCGGGAAGCCGGGTAATGATGGCTCCGGTACTCGGACAATTCTTGTTCAAGGAACGCTGGACCCGATTTCCAGCAGGTGCAGCTCCCCTCCAATAGATGGAGCGACCGGCCACAGACCTACTAGGGGAGGTTGCTCTTATCACCTCCCCTAGTAGGCACCGGCTGGCTATTTGCAAAAAAATGAAAAGGACTTCCCAGGAAGTCTATGTGCGCGTCCGTTTGAGTGGGGATGTTGCCTTGTCAAAATCCATCCAATAAGGCTGCATTCATTTAAACAATGCTGGAGAGTTCAAGAACTACTACGAGTCGGGAAATGGGGCAAAAGTCCTCACATCACATAGAACACAAGCTAGTAGGTGGGTGGGCTTCTTGCCAGCGCCTTGAGCAGAACTTTCCTCACACATGTCATCGGGGTCGAGTTTTAACAATGTCATTTTCGCTGGGCTTTGCCCTACACTTGCCGGTCAGTGGAACCCAACACCACTTGTAATCCACCGAGGAGAACGATACAGAGAAGAAACCAATACAGCAAAACAGACAGATTGCAGCGAGAGGTGCTGCTGAGGGGCGGCGAAACGGACACTCAGCAGAAATTGAGGTATTTCTCAGAGTACAGCGTCCACCGAGGAGAGGGAAAGGCCAGCTGTGTACGCAGTGGATGCGGCAAGAGGTGACAGTCGATCTCCGGCAATGGCTCTTGATGCAGCAAGCTTACAGAAGGTCAGGTCAAATTTGACCGAGAGGACCAGGCTAGGGGTACTTGGACAGGAGGCTCAGAAAGCATAATAGTGTATACAGAACATGCATGGGTGCAGCCGAGGTTAATTCTTCCATCCCCAGGAAGAAGTCAATGCCGCCGGTGTCACCAACGGGCCTGTGGCGCTCAGTTGGTACGCACCCATGAACTGTTGAAATACAGACCCGAGTTCGAATCCAGATACCACCGTCAGATGAACAAAATAAAATCATTCTGAATTACCTGCGACCGGTCAGAATCATTCTGAATTACCTGCGACCGGGATGAACCTGTCTCTTATACACATCTAGATGTGTATAAGAGACAGCAGCTCTGCCTGCCCTTTAGAACTCTCTCTCTCTCTCTCTCTCTCTCTCTCTCTCTCTCTCTCTCTCNAGAGAGAGAGAGAGAGAGAGAGAGAGAGAGAGAGAGAGAGAGAGAGAGAGAGAGAGAGAGAGAGAGTACCCCAATGACAAGTACTCAAAATGTTGTTGGTAGAGCAGTGTACACACACATCCACAGACCCGAAAGTACCACAAAATTCTGAATAGGGTGCACAGTACCTTCCCATCATCCTCATACAACCAATATGAGTCACTCTTTTCTCATAAACATGTTCGTCCTTTTTGTGAAGAAAAATAATGAAACAAAAGTATGGGGTCGACTATTGCGTGTCATATTGGGCGATAAAACCTGCACTTCGATGTCTTTGTGCCCCCCAGTAGTGAGCCTAAAAACAATCTCTCTCTCTCTCTCTTTCTCTCACACACTTTCTCTCTCTCTCTCTCTCCCTCTCTCTGTGTGTCTCTCTCTCGCTTTCTCTCTCCCTCTCTCTCTCTCTCTCTCATACACACACACACACACACAATCTGATTCACTCACTAAATATTGATGTGCGTTATTTGAAAGGTTGTGAGATAGACAAATAACGACGATCGCCCTGCATTAAAAAAATAATTTAAAAGTTGTGAGGTCGAAAAATTACAACGATTTTAAAGGTTGTGAGGACGATGTCCCTGCAATAAAGAAAAAAAATTAAAACATAATTAAATAAAAGTTATTCAATGAAAACAAAGTTGTAAAACAACGAAAAAAAAAAGTTATAACATAAAACAAAAACTCTATAAAAACTCTATAATAACGAAAAAAAAACCCCATTAAAATAACGGAAAAAAAAAACTCTTTAAAAAATCCTGTAAAACAAAAAAAAAAGGAAGAATGAAAGAAAGAAATAAAGGAAGAAATAAAGAAAGATTTTTTTTTTATTTATAAAAAGCAAGAATGAAGAAGAAGACGAAGAAAAAGAAGAACAAAGGGAGAGGGGGGGGGGGGCTCGCATGACCATCGTAGCCCTGCCACGTGACACCGCTGCTGCGATGTGGCAGGGGGCCGATCGCCCTGCCGTCCCCCTCCCCAACCTTTGTTTTTTCGAAATAAAGCTAAAAAATAACGAAAAAAAACTGGAAAATAACGAAAAAAAACCTCTAAAATAACTAAAAAAAAAAACTCTTAAAAAACTTTAGAACAATGAGAAAAAAAAACTATAAAAAAACTCTGTAATAATAAAAAAAATAAAAAAATAACGACAAAGAAGGAAATCACAATCTGCAGAATACGACAGCAGCAGCACACTTGCACACCAAGACGATGTGTTGTATATCATCAAACACATCATTTATTAAAAAAACAGACTCACGTTAACACGCGGCTGTCAACAGTGGTCAACTTGAAGCTCAAAGAAGATGAGAGTGATGAATGATTGGATCCCCCAACGTCATGTCGACGCACGGCCCCCAGTTTTACTCCCCTACTGTCCACCACCTCGCATCCTCGCCACTCGGCGAAAGAGGAGACCGTCGTTCTACGATTCTCAATATATCCCATGTCAACGAAAATTATATCCCATGACAAAGAAGGTCTACCAAAAAAAAAAAAAAAAAAAAAAAAAAAAAAAAAAAAAAAAAAAAAAAAAGGACGAAAATAAGAATAATAATAATGCCGGTGTCTCAGGGTCCTTCTTCTCTCGGGCCATAGCGGGAGGAAACGTCGAGCGGGTACGGGTACTCTAGCAATGCACAATAGACCCGGTTTCCAGCCAACAATGGAGCTGGCTTCATTTAAAAGAGAAAGGGAAAAACAGGAGGAACCAGCACACAAGAGGCGCATAAAGATAAGAGAACAAAGGGCAAGCGAAGGATGGAAGGGACCAGGAGCGTCAGGAAATTGCCGCCGCTAACTACTAACTACATCCTTACAAAGCCTATTACTAGATATATAGGTAGAGAACTTACCACACTGTCCACACTAACGCCCAGCACTTCGGTATTGAGTGCTGCAAACTCCGCATACCGATCACTGAAGGCCGTGATCTCCGTCGGGCACACAAACGTGAAGTCCAGAGGGTAGAAGAACAGCACTACGTACTTGCCCTGCGCCTGGTAATCTGACAGCTTAACCTGCGTTTTCAATCCCCACATGGTTATGACGCTTCCACTGTCAGATAATTCAATACCACACCACACGTGTAAATTTTAAACCAGACAATATACGAATTAATTAATAAAAAAGGACGCTCGTCTTTTCTCCAAGACATCATTCCACGACCAGTATGCAGCAACGGCAGAACAACCTCTCAAAGCTGAAGAACGTGGCTTTCAAGACATACCATGTCGCTCAGTAAACCAGCACACGCACTAATCGATCAATCAGCGAAAACAGGCCGACCAGAATACATGCACAAGCACTGATCAGTCAACCACGAAAAAAAAAACGCGAACTCTCAGAACACATCCACAGCTTGGGTTACAGTATATATGAGGAGGGCAAAAGGCCGTATCGGCCCTCCCCATACTCGGTAGGCGGGAGGGCAGTCGGTGGACCGCAAGGCATGGTTGTGCGGGAAGCCCCCCGAGGATGATCGGCGCGCAGCCGATCGAAACGCGCGTCGGGGAATCTGTGCGTAAGCTGAGACTACGTGCGGCTATGTAATGGAGAACTTGAGACGCGTGTGCGGAAGGCAGCTGGCCCCTGTTTTCACTATTCACCATTCCTCTACCTTCGGTTGAATCGGCCTTCATGGTAATCAACAATCTTTGATTTATTCAGACTGACAGAAGTAAACGGGATTGGAAACATCACGACCGTCCTATTACACACACCCCGGCACCGCACAGTTCACAGTTTCTTGGTGCAGAAAGCACAACTGCTCATAGCAGAAAACAAAAAACGGATTGGCAAAAACCGCAAAGCCAGTCAATCAAAACACCAGAGCGAAGGCCTTGCACAGTGTACGTCGCGACCCCTCTGCCTCATCTACTACAGTAAGACTGTGCGCCCGTGCGTTCACCAGGATATTATTCCTGCTTCTGTTTGTGTGACAATGTCCGACCAGCACCTGATGCGTGCTGGTAGTTTCTCTATACTGACGCGTGATGCTATCAGTACACTGACGCATGCTATATGAAAATTGAATGAAGAGAAATGTGCGATGTATTCAGCTACACCTAACAAAATCGTCGGGAGCTCTGCAGTAAATTTCACACATTGTCATCCGTTGGCAGCTCTTCAGTACATTTCACATACTGTCATCCGTTGGCAGCTCTTCAGTAAATTCATTCTACCGTCTGGACTAGACAAATCCCTGTTAAGAACTACAAAGTCTTCACCCGAATAGAACGTCCGGTCATTATCGTTGCATATAGACAGACAGCTGACCCAAATACAGCTACAATGACCCAGTCTTCACCCGAATAGAAC